GCCAATCGACAACTGGTCAAGAGGAATCGGCCGTCCACTTCTGGTGGAACCGAGCTTCGAATCTCTTCACGCAACAATTCCACTCGAAATGGAAGTGAGCTCAACAATTATGAAACAAGAGATTCCTTGAAAGCCAACTTTTATTTGTATTTATTAGGAACTGTTAGAACTTTTTAAAGTTAGTTGATGATAAGACGATAGGAGGAGATCTGCCGGTAAGTTTCGATTTCGTCTATGTACATTAAAAGAGGTTTTAGCGTTAACACAAGATCAACATTTTGAAATGATAGCAAGTAAAAAGTTAGGCCATGATTCGGCCATTGGGCTAGTCAACTTCCAATGAATAATACATATTTTAATCGGAGCTATGAAGACCAAGATGGTATAGAAGTTGTTTGACCTTCGTTTTGCAACTTGGTCCTATTAGCAGGAAGACGTAAAGGAACGCACCTTGCCCGGAGTCCATTGTATGCATCATCGTCATTTTCAGATTCGGACCGTGGACGTGGTACATTCCCAGACATTTCGCCGGCATCGTCAGTGAGTCTTGCCAATCTTAGCAACTAAGCTACAACTCCTTTCGTTGCGTAGAAGTTATTTGACGTTCTTTTCCCATATTGCATCTTGTTCGTAGTCCATAGTTTGCAGGATAATTTCAGGAGTCGGACCGTGGGCTTGGTACATTCCCAGACGTTTCTCCGGTATCGAAGTCGGCATCGTCAGTGAGTCTTGCCAATCTCAACAACTAAGCTACAACTCGTCAAAGAGACCAACTTTCACTCCTCGTTTTCTCCTGGTCCCTCTATCTATTTCTTATCCTCTAGTCTCGCCCTCGTCCTATCACAACTTATGACGTGTTTATATTCCACAAGACATGTGTCCTTTGCCGAAGAGTTGGTGATCATACCGAACGACTAGTGACAGCACAACCGTTTCGACAGAAAGTTGGTCAAGGGATTGGCTTTTCTTTGTCTCTTTGACGAATTGTGGTTTGGCGCTGAGAATGGCAAGACTCACTGGCGATGCCGACTTTGATGCCGGCGAAACGTCTGGCAATGTACCAAGTCCACGGTCCGACTCCGGAAAGGATCATACAAACTCTTGACAAGATGCGTTCCTTTAGGTCTTTATGCAATGTGGCCAGGTTGCGAAAACAACATCAAACGACTTCTATACAAGGAAAGTAGTCCGCGATCACACAAAAGGCCACACCCCTTGGTCTTCATATCTTAGATTATGCTAAGAGATTCTTCAAAACACAACCTTTTTTCATATAACATTTAAATCTTCCTCGATATCTACAGTTGGTTGAGTTGTTTTATGAGCAGTGATTCGATTGAAAAGGACAACAGGTTTCCATAAAGTACCTCTGACATAATGCTGCCTCTCAGGTAGCACTACCGATGAATCGTTTTTTGTCATATTTACACTCATTATTCTGAAGGTCCTGGAAGAACCAAAACAACAGCAGTCCGACAGGAATTTGCAAGTACAGAGCCAAGTGAATGCTTTCGGCATTCACACTCTTTCAAGTTAACACTGATGTGCCCACAGATCCCCCAAAAACCAGTTTCTCTTCCTATCGTCTCATCCCATACGGAGGCACCAGTTGT